CAGTTAATTCAATGAAGCATAGTTTAATTGTTAGGAGTCACAGGCCCTAGAGCCTTGACTCCCTGGGTTCAAAGCTTGGCTCTGTTAAAAGGTCTTGAACAACCCACTAAACTGCTCTGTGCCTTATTTTCCCCATCTGCAAAATGGGGACAATAGTAAGGATTAAGTGAATCCTTAAGACATATAAAGTACTTAGAACATTACCTGATGTTAGTTACTAACTTGATAGCATTTTCCATGTTGCTTCATAATTCATACACTGATTATTTTTAATGGCTGCAAAATATTCCACTGAGTATCTACACTAGCTAATTTACTTAACCATTACTCTTTTGTTAGCTATTTAGGTTATTTCCAGTCATTCTGTATTATAAATAACACTGTCATAAATATGGAGCCCTGGTGACACAGTGGTTAAGAGCTATGGCTGCTCACCAAAAGGTCAGCAGTTAGAATCCACCAGCCACTCCTTGGGAACCCTATGCGGTAGCTCTGCTCTGTCCTGTAGAGTCACTATGAGTCAGAATCGACTCGATGCCAACAGGTTTGGTTTGGTTGGTCATAAATATCCTAGTGCGTACATTTTAGATTTTTTCATACAGATTCCCAGAAGTAGAAGCATGAGGTCAAAGGGCAAAAACATTTTATGCCTTTGGTCTATCTTGGGAAATAGTTTTCCAAAAAGGGTTGTAGCACTTTTTGTTTATGATTCATCTTATTTTTGTTGCTGTTGTTGAGAATACACACAGCAGAACATACATCAATTCAACAATTAAGGGTTGTAGCACTTTAAAATGTCTCCAACAATGTATGGTGGGACTTTTTACTTTTCACTGCTCCCTCACTAGCCCTAGATACCATTTTTTAAAAATGTGTGCAAATTTAATAAGCCATAAATAGTATCACTTTAATTTCCCTTTTCTTTGTCCATCATGGAGGCTTCATATGGGCAGTTGTGATTGTGATACACTTTATTGTGAAATCTCTGATTCTACCAGTCAGGGTCCAGTCAGGGTTACACCAGTTGTTTTAACAGAGAAAGCTTAATAGAAAGAATTCTTAATCATATATTAAAGAACTAAAAAGGCAAAAAGAAGCTGTAAGGCATCACAGAAGTCTGCTACCACCTCTGAAGCTGGATGAACAAAGGGAAGACGATGGAATTAGTAAAACCTAGAAATCTGGAGGAGGGACCCTGCAAGGCTGAAACTCAGACTTCTGAGGAGGGGGCACTGTTTGGTATTGGTGTCTCTGAGCTCAGACGAGGGCCTCGAGGGCCTGGGACCCAGACTTCTGAGGAGGGCTGGCTGATGCTAATGTCTCTATGGTGCACCCTATGAGAATAGTTCTATAAGTGATAGGAAAACTGCCAAATGAATTCAACTGCCACTTCTGGAATAAGCTGCTGCCTTGGAGATGAAGAAGCAAGGTTGTAGGGCTGCCGTATTTAGCAAAAACAAAATACAAGATGTCCAGGTAAATTTGAATTTCAGATAAATAACAAACCATTTTTTAGTATAAATATATCCCAAAGATTGCATGGGATATACTAATACTAAAAAATGATTCATTGTTTATCTAAAATTCAAATTTACCTGTGTCCTCTATTTTATCTGGCAATCCTACAAGGCTGGGGTAATGCTAACAAGAACAGAAAAAAGTGTTCTTTCCCCTTTCTCTAGCCTTTTAGTCTTCCTCTGGCATCCCCTATTGGCAGAGCCTAGCATACAGCCAACTGGCAAAGCTGAGGAGTTTGCTGATCCCGAGCCCCTATGTCAGAGTAAAGAAGGATAGGTTTGAAGTTGAGAATAATTATCCAGTAACTGACACAGTCTACCCTTTTGGGTATTTAGCATCCATACACACCATTCTACACATTTAAACTTCCAGACAACAATAAAAACAACTCTGTATTTCTGCATAACAAAATACAACTCTCTTTCAACAAATGAAGACATTCTCTCCTTCCATCAAATGGGGGAGATGCAAAGTCTCAACACTGTATTCATCTCTGGAAGACAGTCACACTGTCTATCTCTGGGCTTGGGTAACTACTCTTAAAATTCATTGAGTCACATTTGAAAATTCTATTACCTAAAGACTAAATTGAAGAATTTACCTCCAACAAAACTTTTATAACGTAATAGGGAGAATTAGAAGGGAGAAAATAACTAACATAAACTGCCTTCTTTTCTGTACCCAGTCATGAGGCCACAGTTGATATTTATAACATTCTTCATCAACTTTCTATTTCATTCTTCTTTGCCCCCAGGCAGGATCTCAGCTGGCCCTTTTTTTTTTTTTTTTTTTTTAATTTATTGTACTTTAGGTGAAAGTTTACAGCACAGATTAGTTTGTTATGGTCCATGGTCTTTACCTAGTAGGGAGACCCAAACTTTCATTTCTGATAGATCTGAATCCTCACTAGTCCTGCCTCTCTTTAGTTGCTATAATTTTCATTAATATTTACTATTGGGCATGAAAGTACTGAGAGACACACCAGAGAATCCCCCAGGCTCCAGATATAGTCTTCCCTGCCCCCAATTGTGTAGCAGCAAGCAATTTTCTCTGGGTTATCAGGATGAATCATCAGAGCCAGTAAAGTAACCCTCTTCTTTACCCATTAGTTTAATGGCATAAAGAACCCCAAATGACCAGGTGGCAGTCTCAACTCCCAATTCAGTAGAACCATGTTGTGAACCCTAGTGGAAATATTCCTCTCTTGGGAATCAAGACCTCCAATCCAGTGGAAAACAAAGGTGAAGAGAGGAAGCAAAAATTCTACAAGTGGGTTTTTAGGTGAAATGGTAAGAGGAGCCACTCCCACTTCCTCCTTTTGATTTCCAGACCTTTGTATTCTAGTTATAGGAGAAAGAGCACAATGTCTTGTTTGCTCAGTCAAATCATATATTGCATCCTACAAAACAGTACTGTATATATCCTTAGTGTGTTGCCTCAACTAAATCTTCAGTAGGCCATTTGACCGGTCTATTAGGCCAGCCTCTCCTGAGTGATGGAGTACATGTTAAGACCAGTGAATTCCATGATCCATTAGCTTACTGTTGTACTTCTTATACTGTGACATTAGTTCCTTGATTAGAAACTTGTTGTCCAGGATATCAGGATGGTGAATGTCATTCCATGTATCTCAGATGATGGTGCTGGCAGAAGCATTATAGACAGGAGAAGAAAATCCATATCCAGAATATGTGTCTATTCCAATGAGAACACATCTCTTTCATGTCTGTGATGGAAGGGGTCCAATGTAATCATCCTGCCTCTAGGTGGATGTCCCCCTCCCCCAGGGAATGGTGCCATAGGAGCTCAGTGTTGGTCTTCGCCATTGACAGTTAATCATTCAGCAGTAGCAGTAGCCAGGTCAGCCTTGGTGAGAGGAAGTCCATGTTGGTGAGCCCTTGAATAGCCTCCATCCTTACCATGGATACTTTGTACTTAAGCCCATTGACCAAATACTGGGTGGCTGGAAAAAGATGCTGACTGACATGCACAGAACATACCATTTAATCTACCTGAATATGGAGAGCTTCTTCCCAATACACCCTTTGGTGAGTTTTTATATGGGGTACAAATATCTTCACATTCTGTGCCTATTCCAAGGTGTCCATCCATGTATCCCTTCTCTAGACCTCCTTGTCACCAATCTTACTATTTTGTTCTTTCCAAGTTCTTCACCATCATGCTAAACCATTAGCAACTGCCCATGAATCAGTGTGGATCCTTGGACCAGATAAAGCAGACAACCAAATGCACCATTTGAAGTTATATCCACTGGGAATATGTCACCACTACCATTCAAGGCCACATTTGATTGGACCTGCAGCCATCCAGTTCTGGTTTGTGCCAGCATATCATGAAGAACAATCTGTAAATCAAGCTCAAGTTTTTTTTCTCCATGGTCATAAGGAATTCTCAGTGAGGCCTCAGGTATGGATTAAGGGAGAAGGAGTCTGAGCCACCTGCTCACTCAAGTTACTTGTACCTTCTGGACAGACATGCTCGAGCCATTTGATGATGGGATGCTATTGCGAACACCCAGCCCTATGGCCTGGTGGATAAAATGGGCAGCACAGGTCACATGGTCACTTGACATCACATGGTTAGGCTGCAGTCACATTTTTAATGTTTTTTATCCATTTTTCTCTTAAACAAAGTACTATATGAGACTCACACTTCTTTTTTGCATCTATTTATCATTTAAGAATGATGATGGTAGCAGCACCTGGCGAGAAGCTTATCCTCTCTCCCAGGGTCTCAGAGCTGTTTCTCAAAAGGAGAATAATTATCTGCAAAAGATGGCATGAAATACCGACCGCTCTGCCAGAAATCACAACGAAGGGTCCCAGACAGAGCAAGAGAAAAATGCAGAACAAAATTCAAATCCACAAAATGACCAGATTTACTGGTCTGACAAAGACTGGAGAAACCCCTGAGACTATGGCCACCAGACACCCTGCTAACTCAGAACTGAAGCCATTCCTGAAGTCCATCTTTCAGCCAAAGATTAGACAGGCCTATAAAACAATAACACACGTGAGAAACGTGCTTCTTAGTTCAATCAAGTATACGAGACCAAAGGGGCAACACCTGCCCAAAAGCAAAGACGAGAGGGTAGCAAGGACAGGAAAACTGGACAAATGGACACAGGGAACCCAGGTTGTAAAGGGAAAGGGGGAGAGTGCTGACACACTGCAGAGATTGCAACCAATGTCGCAAAACAATTTGTATATAAATTTTTGAATGAGACACTAAGTTGTGCTGTAAATTTTCACCTAAAGCACAATAAAATTAAAACAAACAAACAAAAAAACAGATTGCATGAATTTGCTCCAAAATTTACTTGTCTACAAAATTGACTTCTACAAAGGCTAAGAAAGTTGCTTGTTCCTCCACAGGTCCTAGGTGTGGGGAACTCTGTCAAAGGTCATCTCTGGGTGGCGGGGAGCAGGGGCCAGAGTTAATACCAGCCCACTCTCTTGCAGGCACAGCCTCTGTCGCTGTGGCAGGGATCCTCGCTGCTCTGCGAATCACCAAGAACAAGCTCTCCAATCATGTGTTTGTTTTCCAAGGTGCAGGTGAGGTAGGTGGCATCAGGGGGGTCTATACTGTTGTTCTGATAGTAAAATAAGGATGAGTGGAGGAGTATCAAGAAGAGGAGGTGTTCTGGGGTTCTGAGAAGAGGAAGCAGCACAGGTGTTTCATGATAATTGTAGCTGCCTATGCCACAACATTTGGGTGTCTCAAGGCAAGGACTTAATTGGGACTTCTGAGGATAGGAGCTGGAGGGTGGGGAGAGGAGGATAAATGCTAAATAACTGTTTGCCCTGTGTCTGAACATCCCCTTATGATACCTCTCAGGCAGCCATGGGCATCGCCCACCTCCTTGTCATGGCCCTAGAGAAAGAAGGAGTCCCCAAGGCAGAGGCCACAAGGAAGATCTGGATGGTGGACTCCAAGGGGCTCATTGTCAAGGTACTGTCACTCTGGAGATGTGGAGGTTTCCTGGTACTTAGGGCTCCCAGAAACTGGACTGGAAGAGGCCACCAAGGGGCAAACTGCTCAAACAGAATAGGGAGCAAAAGGAGAGCAATGGCCTAAGTTCCAAAGAAAAAGACTTCAGAAAATAGCCTTAACTGCTCTTGTCCAAAACCTTTGAATGTATGTGTGAATGTGTGTATGTGTGCTCCTTTCAGCCTTATCTACCACCACTTCCTGCCTTACACTAATCCCCAGCCATACCAAATCATAGTTCTCCAGAAGTAGCATGCTCTCTCACTTCCATGTCTTTGCACATTTTGTTCCTCTGCCTAAAATGCCCTTCTCCCTTTGTCCCATGCCCACTGCCAACCCTTGAGCCCTTCTCAGTTAACTCCTCATTTGATTTAGCTCAAATGTTACTTCCTCCATGAAGCTTTCTCTGAGCATCTAATCTCAATTAATTTCCTACATCTGTGCTCACATAGCCCTCCCCACTTTGTACTTACCACACTGTGGGGCAGCTGCCCCTTTACTTGTCTGTCCCCTAAACGCTTTATATTCTTGATATCAGTGCCTGGTACATGGTAAGTAAATTTAATGTTTGAGGTATGAGTGAAAGAATGAAGGGGAGAGAAAGTCCAGCTTCAGCCTGGAACATGTTGAGGGCTACAATTGGATGACCCCTCCCTTAGGGCTTCACTCTGAGCTCCAGGTTTTAATTCCCAGAATTTAACTAACATAGAATGTCAGTGAGAGATGAAAACTATGGCATATATGGGAACTAGGGGAAGTACATGGGGCCACTGGCCAAGAATAGCAGAGACCCCTCAGCAGAAACTGATCTTCGTGCTATTTCATATGGAGCCAGATGAATGCTGGAAGGGACTGAGGCCTGGAGATTCCTCCTCCCAGCCCAGGTCATTCCAAAGGAAAATCCAGCCATAGGTATAGGCTTCCAGAGGCTGCCACACTTCCCTCTGGCCTATCTTTCAACATCATCTTGCTCACTTATTGAGCCCAAGGAGCTGTCAAAGCTGCCTTCTTCACTCGGGTTCTCAGTGGAATCATCAGAAACGTTTCTGCCCATTTACCAGCACTAGTACCAATCTGTCACCCACTGACTTCTATTTAAAGAAATGAAAGCAATCTGGAGCTGGCTGAGCACTGCCAACCATTCCATGCCTGTCCTGGAGTTCAGCTGAGCATTATTCACAGGAGGTTAATGGCTGTTGTAAAATACATTCAGATTAGCTCCCTGAAGCCAGGTGGCTCAGGCTCCATCCCTCAGCTGGGCCTGGGTGCTAGACTCAGGCATTTCCTGAGAGTCTTTCTGTCCATATGTGGTTTGGATTTAAAAAAATTAAAAGGTTAAATCATTAAAAATCTTTAGGTTCTATCAGGAAATCTGATCAAGAGGACTGGCACCAAGGCTTCTCATAGCTCAGACCAAAGCATGGGACCCAGCAGGGAATGCTCTCAGAATCTCCAAATGCACCCATGCCCCCTGCCCAGGAGGCCTTCACCACCCACAGCTGTCTTGTGTTCTTTCTCTGTAGGAAAGGAGTCACCTGAACCATGAGAAAGAGATATTTGCCCAGGACCATCCTGAAGTGAAGTCCCTGGAGGAGGTGGTGAGGCTGGTGAAGCCCACAGCCATCATAGGTAGGAGGAGGGAGGGGATCCACAGTCCAGCTAACCCTCTTGACTTGCAGGTGGAGAGACTGAGGCTGAGAAAAGGGCATCACTAACCCACGGAAACATAGCTCTTTCCCCTATCCCATTCTAATTCAGTGCCACAAACTTTTGTTGAGTGACTACTATATGAAAACCATAGAACTAAGGCACCAGAGTGGGGGCTTAGTGATGCAAAATTATACAGTGCAGAGGGAAAGCACAGGGCTGGTCTCTCTAACAAGGATGAAATGAGCACCTCCCCCAAGGCAGGGGCTCTGGCATCTCTCCCTGCACTGTGGGAGTAGCCCACTCTAAATGGTAATGCCCCAGGAATGCCTTTACAGGTGCATGTTAACCGGGCAGGGAACTGAAGTGGTCCCTTAGGAATGAACGGAAGACCTCAGCCAGCTCAGGCAGGAAGACCCTTTTCCCTTCTGCTCCCTCAGTCCCTATGTCAGACGCCATCCCCAAGACTCCCAAGCCTTTGTGTTGTACCTTGTTTCCCCAGCCACCACCACCAGGAGAGGAACGGTTTGTTTACAAAGAACAAGTATCCCCACTACCCCCCCACCTTTTCCCTGTAGGTGTTGCCGCCATTGCAGGAGCCTTCACGGAGCAGATTCTGAGGGACATGGCCTCCTACCACGAGCGCCCTATCATCTTTGCACTGAGCAACCCCACCAGCAAGGCCGAGTGCACAGCTGAGAAGTGCTATCAGGTCACCGAGGTCAGCAGGGAGTCCTTCCTTCCCCAGGCTGAGAGGACATAGCAGCAATAACTATGAGTAACCCTTTGTGGGTATAAAAAATCCCCACATCTCTGATGAGCAAACTAAGGTTCAGACAGATGAAGTAACTTGTCCAGGGTCACAGAGCTAAGGAGTAGTGGAGCTGGCACTCCAACCTAGATCTGACTCCAAAGCCTAAGCCCTTACCCATGATGCTATACTTCCCAAGATTCCCCCTAAATAACAAAGAGCTTTCACCAGAATCCTATGCACTTGTAGACTCTAGGCCACCTCCATACCTGTCTTGCCCTGGGTTGGCCCTCCTAGGAGGTGACAAGTAAAGAAGACACAGTGAATCCCATCACCTTTCAGTGATTTCTTGGCTGCAAGGTAACTCCAGAAGGGCTGAGCTTTCTGGTAAAATGAACAAGTGTGCTTTGAGCATCTGCCATGTTTCAGCACAATGCTGGGAATTTGGGAAGGGATGAAGAAGGTCGGGACAACTGGGAGATAAGACTAGATCACCATTTCTGCCTGGAACCAGTCCGCAAGCTCTGTCTCTGGTTTTCTTCCTGCCTCCAGGGCCGAGGTATCTTTGCCAGTGGAAGTCCTTTTAAGAGTGTGACACTGGAAGACGGCAGGACCTTCATTCCTGGGCAGGGAAACAACGCCTATGTGTTCCCTGGAGTGGCACTGGGAGTCATCGCCGGCAGGATCCGGCACATCCCGGATGAGATCTTCCTCCTGACAGCAGAGGTATTACTTTCCCTGCTCCCTCACATGCTCCCAATAGGCCCCTCAAATATTCCTCTTCTTGTCTCTTCCACCCACCTGCCCCCAGCCCTGACAGTGGATCCCCAAAGTACCTGAAGATCAAGCTTCTCTCCAGCTCACCTTGAGGCCTGAACTTCTCTCAAATCACACAGGATTTTTGAGAGGGTATAGGGAATAGATTTACAGCCTTGGAAACTCTATGGGGCAGCTCTACTCTGTCCTGCAGGATCGCTGTGAGTTGGGATCAACTGAACAGCAATGGGTTTGGTTTTGGTTTGGATAGGGAATAGTCAGTGAGGGGGGTGTTGGCAGGAGGCACTGACAGTACCCAGCACTACTTCCTGCCTCTCCAGAAGGTCTGGAACAAAGGAGATGTCTCAACAGAGGAGATACCACCAAAGCCCCATGAAACTGGGCTCGTAGACTATGACAAGTGATGGATTCTTCTAGCCATGGGCCTTGGCCACATCACCAGGATAACTGGTAGTGGAATAAGCCAGCCCCACTGGCTTGCATGCCTCGTTTTACCTACTCTGAGTACCCAAATCGTGAGCACAGTTATTGGGGCAGGGGATGCACCTGCTCTAGGTATCATCCTAGAAAAGTTCCCAGAAGGGTTCTGTGCCCTGGGCACCGTAAAGATAATGAAAGGATTTATTGAGAATGGCAGCCTGTGTTCATAATAATGGTTATTAATCATAACAGTTACAGTGGCTGACGTTTATCAAGTCCTCACTAAGTGCCAGACACTTGACATTAATCCTCACTCTGAGGAGTAGCAATGTCTCTGCTGGGAGATGAAGCTAATCAAAGCTATAGACAAATATTAAATATATTTACACCCAATGAACAGCAAAGACTCTACTGTGATTTCTGACATACTTCTGCATTTCCTCTTCACCATGGCACTGGTAAGAGACCAAAACCAGCGAGACACGGAAATGGCTTCCCTGCAGCCCTGTTCTGTCCCCTTCTATGCGTTCCACGCAGAAATGCCTCACGTACCAGGTCCCTTCTCACTAGGTCTTGGTCTTTGCTTGAGCACTGGCTGCACAAGGCCATGCAAATAATGTCTTCTTAAGGGTTTTCAGTCTCCTACATGCCCTATGCACACTAGCTGTGGTTTTGTATAGCAGCTCTGTCCCTCTGGTCTGTGTCTGTATTTCTTCTTACTGTTCTGATCGTTGTTCTTGTCCTGTGACTGTGGACAGTGCTGTTTAAAACCCCCACTGGATAAGAAGAGTCACCTTCTGCCTGGAGTCAGTCTGAACACAGATTCCCCTATTGTGCAGAAACACAGTTGCTACAACCCTTCCTTTGTAGCCTCAAGAAACATCTCACACACCCATCTCCCAGTGCTGTGGGACAGTTCTGCTCCATTGTTTCATGAACAGTATCCTGACAATTACACAGGAACATCTCCTCAATCTATTTATTAAGCACCTCCCATGAGTAGGACAAGGTCCCTGCCCTGTAACACCCGGCAGTCTGGTCTTCATACTCCTGGCAAGTTGTATTTCTGAAAAGGCTGCTTTTAGTTAAGACAATTTAAGTTGAATTTGATTTTCCTGTGGAAAAAAATAACATAAGCTTTAGGAGATTTACATGCATTATCTCATTTCACCTTAACAACTCTGTAAAATAGGTATAGTGATTATTCCTATTTTCATAGACAAGGAGAATGAAGCACAGGGAGTTTAAGTAACTTGCACAAGATCATACAGCTTGAGAGCAGCAGTGCCAGGATGGACCCAGGCATTTTGACTTCAAGCCTGCAGCAGAGCAGTACCAGTGCCCAGATTTTTAGAAGTGACCTCACATACCGTGCTACATATCTACACTCTTTGGGGTAACCGTTCTAGATGCAGATCTCGCCACGGAAATCCTGCTTCCCTTCTCAATCCATCTCCTATACCTCCACAAAGAGAGTTCTTCTGAAACCCAGATCATGCCATGTGTTTCTCCTAATTTCAGACCTTTTTATGGCTCCTCGGCACATGCAGGATAAAGTCCACACTTCTTAACATTGTTTCCATACAAGGTACTTCATCACACTGCCCTCCTTTCCTCTCCGCCCTTCCTTCAGCCTCTCCCTACCACCACCCTCTCCAGTGTGCTGGTTTCAGCCTCCCGCACGCGAACTCTCTTTCACCTCCAAGCATTTGCATGTACTATTCCTTCTCCCCTTTTTAAGTAATTCATACTTTGTCCTTCAGGTTTCAGCTTATGTTGCTTCTTCTGGGAAGCCCTTCCTTTACAGGGCAGACTGCGCCCTGCCTTCCTCTCTGCCTAAATGCCCCCCTCACTGCATTCACCCCACTATACTGTAATTGTTTGGTACAGTAAAACCTGCAAATACCAGAACCTGTGTAAGGCAGAAACCTGTAAGAGAAGGAAAACTCAAATATTTTCCACTAAAACAAGCGATAGAAAAGTGGTAAGACTGCACCCTATCTAAAGTGGAAAACTTACAAGACCTGGAAAAACAAGACAGTCCTCTTGAGTTCTGGCTCTCACAGGTTTCACTGTAATTGTTCCTTTACTCCCATCTCCATGAGGGAAGACTATGGCTTCTTCACCATGGACCTCACCACCTGGAACACAGCCTAGCATATCATACAGCTCGGCAAATGTTTGACTGAACAAATGGAGAGATAGGAGCACGAGACTGAGGCAGAGGAGGGGGGCGCCTGCTTCCCTAATATCTGTCAAACTATGATGCAAGACCATTTCCCTCACCTGTCCATTCTGGAACACACAGTTCTCAGAAAGCATCAGTGCCTTTTCTCAAAATCCAAACTGGACACCAGAAAATCAGGTGTGGGTTGGATTCAGAGATGCCACATTAAAGAGACCGATCTGAAAGGCTGGCTGAGCACCAGCCACTAGGGCTGAAGGATGAGGTTTGCAGGGCAGAGCTCACCCTCAGAGGCAGCCTCTGAAGCAGGGAGGGGAGCTGTGTGAGGTGCTGTTCCCAGGATGATGTGCTTAGGGCATTTATTCCAATAACCCAAAAGGCTCATATATAGCATCATTCACTGGTAGCGAGGCCTTTCCTCAGACTGGGACCAGGGCTATAAGGGAGGGTGCAAAGAGCCCTGAATTCAGGGAGATGAGATGGCCAAGACGGGTATCCAAGGATGGTGTCCAGATACTACCAAGCATGTGGAAGGAAGCTGGGACCCAGGAAGTGAAACCCAGTGACCACTATGCAACAGGCTGAACCAGCCAAAAGGAGATCCCGGCGTCTTTGCTTTGCAGGCCACAAGCTTATACATCTTGGTCTTAGTGATTTTCCTTTAGACTTCAGTGAGCTTTATGTTGTTTTTTTAAGCCTCAGCCAGTCTCACAGTACAGAAAGGACATGGCTTTGCTTAATCTCAAGCATTAAGCTCCCCTGGGCCACCTGGTAGTATTTACAGCATTGGGAACCACAGCAACTGACCTGTTTGCGGGAGGGGCAGTGGGAGAGTTGAGTCTTGAGGTTGGGCTTGTTCTGGGGAGGCAGAAACTCAGCTTCTTTCTTTTGGTTCTGTCCCTCTCCCCAGCAAATTGCCCAGGAGGTCTCTGAGCAGCATCTGTCCCAGGGGAGACTGTACCCGCCACTCAGCACTATCCGAGATGTGTCTCTGAGAATCGCCATCAAAGTAAGGGGCATCCTACCCCTGTAATATGGATAGTGAGGCTCAACTACTGCTTCTTTCTGTGGCTTTAGGAAGGCTAAGGGGATGGCAGCTACGGAGACATCGTAAGCTCCTCGGGCTGCACTGCATGTGACCCAGAGGCAGGGTCAGAAACTCCTGCTTATAGCTCATGCCCCACACCCAACACCCACCCAGGCCAGTTCTGGGAAAGCTCCTGGATTTCCTCTCAAACACCAGACAGAAAGGTCATCAAAGTCCATGGCCTTGTGGACGGGAATGTGGGTGGAATTTTTTAAAATGAATCATAAAGGCTGATTTATACAGAAAGGTCAGCCTGTATAGCATCATGGAAAGGGCTCAGGCTTTGGGGTCCCAGCTCTGCTAATCAGCAGCAGAATAACCTTGGACCAGTCACTTCACTTGCCTGAGCCTCAGTTTCCTCCTCTTCCAAAGGGGCCAGTAAGCCCTCTCTCCAGAGTTCTGGAGAAGATTAAAAGAGAACAGAGAGAAAGCTCCACACCCAGTACCTGTCTGGCCACAGTAGATGCTCATCCCTCCCTTTTCTCTCAGAATGGCTAGGGCCATTGGAGGTCAGGTTCATGGACTATTTCAGGGAAAAATGTCACCATAGAGACTATGCAGAGATGATGGGTTTCCAAAGAATCAGAATATGGTACAATAAAGACTGGCCCAGAATCAATAACTGTTGGGAGCTGGATGGTGGCTACATGGGGGTTTATTATACTATTATTTCTACTAATGTAGATGTTTTAAATTTCCTATAATAAAAAGCTTTTCTTAATAATATAAGAAAACATATTGTACACATTCCCCATGAGCTGTCCAGGGCAGGATCCAGGATTAACCCTCAAGATCAACAGTCCAGCTCATAGTTCAACTCTACCCAGTCCAGTTCCTTCCTTTTTGGCATATTTAAATTCAGGCTCTTGTGAAACCAAATCTAATACCCAAAGAACAGTTTCCCAGCTACTCATCCAATTCAGTTCACATTCGGGGGAGTGTATGTGTCAGTATTATCTAATTTTATCCTCACACTACTCCAGAGAAAGATCTCATTATCCACATTTTACAGATGAGGAAACTGAGGCTCAGCCAGGATAGTGGCACCCCTAAGGACCCACAGGAAGTTGAAGCTGAGGCAGAATTTAAGTTTGGCCTCTTGACTCTGGCACAGTATTTATACAACTCCTGTCTGTCTCTCCAGGCAGAAAGCTCAAAATCCTTCCTATTCATGGCTTCAAGGACCACAGGCTGTGGGAGGAACATGTCTGATTCTTCAGAGTGTGTTCCCCTTCCCCAAGGCTCCCAAGCAAGGAACTTTAGGCAGGTTCTTCCTTAGACCCAGTTCCTCAGCCAAACATGTTTTTCCCTAGGTCCTCGACTACGCGTACAAACACAACCTGGCCTCCTACTACCCAGAGCCCAAGGACAAGGAGGCTTTTGTAAGATCCCTGGTCTACACTCCAGACTATGACTCATTTACAGTGGACAGCTACACTTGGCCCAAGGAGGCCATGAATGTTCAGACGGTTTGATGCGATTTCAGTGGCTGGTGTGGGGCTAGATGAAGCCCTAAGTAGCACCAACAATATAAATCGGTTCCAAAATGGCCATCTTTGTCACTGTGTTTTTTCTTTTGAACTTTCTGGTGTGAGAGGAGATGCCCAGGCATGTGGTGAATGAGAGCCTTGTCTCTGAAGACCCTTGGAGTTTACATTTCTCTAACCCTCCTCTGAGTTCCTTCCTAAGCATTTCTTCATTCATTGATTGCCAACTATGGGCTTAGGCCTGTGGGAAATACAGAATATTGCCTAGAATCCTGCCTTTACAGAGCTCAGGGTCTAGTGGAAGAGATGAGATACACAATTCATTTCGTTGTAAGGGAAAAAGTGGTAAGTCCATGAAACAAGTGCAGATAAAGATCAAGGATACTCAGAGGAGGGAGAGTATACTTCCTATAAGGGCATAAGAGAAGGCTTTAGGGGGAGCAGTGAGTCTCAAGAATGAAGGATGGGTAGGAGTCACAGGAAGATGGGGAGCATGAGGACAGCCACTAGCCAAAAGCACAGCCCACTTACGGAGCTCTGTCCCTGCTGGAGGAATATACACCCTTCAAGGCTTAGCAGGATTGGAGGGCTGAATGACTGGAGGCAGCTCACTAACTAGTCAGAAATGGTCACTTCTCTATGGGTTGTGAAGTATTAGGCATTTCTTTTTGGTTATTGCTAAAAGGAAATCCAGAGATATGTGGGTGGGGAAGGTCAGCATGCCAAGAAGTGAGGAGGAAGGTAGGCAATGAGGGAAAGAGCACCATGGGGAGTTCCAAGGAAGACTTGATTTCATTTCCTAGCCCTGGAACACACTCTCTTCCATCCTTCACTCTGCTGTGAAGTAATTCTGCAACTCAAAGCAGCTTCGTTATGGAGGTGATGTCAGTCTGTTCTAGTGTTTCTTAGGCCATGTTCAGTCCTAGCCTTCACCTCCCTCATGTCCAGCAGAACCCATGCTATATGAGGGTGGGGGTGGGTGTGATGGTTAAGATTGTGTGTCATCTTGGCTGGCCATGATTCTTAGTGTTTCAGCAGTTGTATAATGTGATCATTTCCCTGTTGAAATTTGATACACGATCACCCCCACGATGGAATCTGCTGAGTGGTACCAGCAGGGCTGGGCCTGTGGTGGCTCACTGCCCCCTCCCGCTTCATCTCTCTGCCTTCCTTCACCTACTTCCTTCCTGCTAACCTTGCCGGGGCTTTTGCTTATTCTGGATCCTGCAGCTTGCTCCCATACATCTGGCCTCTGGTTCTTGGGACTTGGGCTGGTGGCTTGCCAGCAGTCTTGCCTGCCAATCTTGGGTTTGCCAGCCCCTGCAGCTACGTGGATGGGGGCAATTCCCTTTCCTGCCTCACGGACTTGGGACATCCAGCCTTTAGGGGCCTTGTGAGCCATTTCCTTGATATAAATTTCTCTTTTTACATATATATATGTTTTTCTGGTTTTGCTTCTTTGGAGAACCCAGCCTAAGACATTTGGTACCGAGAGTGAGGTCTAAAGAAACAAAATTGTAAGGATGGATTTTCTAAATTGGTTCTCAGGTCTGGTTAGTCTTAAAGATGTTGATGACTCTGCTTCCAGTAGTAAAGAGGGCACTGTTAAGCCATGGCGTGAGGTGGCAATTCAAATATGCAAAATATCACCTCCAGTAGATCAAGTACTGGTGAAAGACAAGGCTCTGGGTGATTACATGGATGATACCTTTCTACGATTTTGTCATAATGAGAAGTATAGGGAGTCTGGTTGGCTGGTCCTACTTTTGCTAGACAAACTGGTGAAAGAAAGAAATGAGCTCAGGGTTTCATAGTTAAAGCTCAAGTGCTGCATAAACGACCTCAAAGTTTCCACTTTTGCCTTGAAAGAAAGCCTTATTTCTTATAGTAACATAGCTGATATGGCTGAAAACCAAACCCAGAGTCTTATTTTAAGAGTAGCTGAATTACAACGCCAACTTAACTGCCAATCTTGAGAGATGTCTGAAATTAAATTGAGGGCATTGACTGGGAAGAACTGGGATCCTGAAACCTGGGATGGGGACCCACACCACCAAGAAAGCAGCACTGGGAGCAGAGCACATCCTTTGGACCCAAGGTCCCTATGCAGAGAAGCTCCTAGTCCAGGGGAAGATTGATGGAGAATAAACTTCTGTTTGTTAAAGCCATCCACTTGTGGTATTTCTGTTAAATAAGCAACACTAGATGACTAAGCCAGTGGGGGATATGCTTGCAGCCCCCTACAATTAAAGACCCTGCTGAATTGCTAAGATCTATTGTGATGGCAGCTTCCAACCTTCAATTTTATTGTATAATAGAGGATACAATAAATCAGGCTCAGGGAACTACCACTGCCCACCCCTGCTGCCAGCTCAGCCTCAGGACACTCACCACCCACTATGAATAGATCATATATGGCTACCTCTCAGTGACAGGCTTGATGGACCATGGGGCTCCTAGAAAAGTTAATTAGCAGAGACATCAGTCAACCCTTGTCCAGGTCTTACTCTTCAGACATCTGCCTCCTTGGTGCTAGTGCTTAGCCAAGAATATCTTCAGGAAACATCCCTGCTCTATGATCTCTGGGATCACAGAGAATGAAAAACTATTCAGAAGAGGGTTTGAAGAATGAAGTAGTAATCTGAACACCATTTAACAGGGAACCTTTTACACTATTCGTTCTACATCACATTCCACAACTTCCTCTGCACTCCCACTACACTTCCATTGTTCCAGCAACAAAAACAATGTGCAAGAGGGAAAAATCAAAGTCCAGCATCGAAGTAATACATGATTTGAAATGCTCAGTTTTCAACAAAAAATTATGAGGTGTGCAAAGAAAAGGAAAGTGTGACCCAGACTCAGGAAAAAAATCAGTCAATAGAAAATGCCTTTGGGTATCCCCAGAAGTAGAATTTAGCAAACAAAGACTTCAAGACAGTTATTATAAATCTATTCAAAGAACTAAAATAAACCATGTGTAAAGAACTAAAGAAAGGTACGACAACAATGAATCAACAAATAGAGATTCTAAAAAAAGGAAATAAATAGTATTTTAAAAGAACCAAATGGAAATTCTGGAAATGAAAAGTGTAACAACTGAAAAGTTTACTAGTGGTGCTCAACAGCAGATTCAACATGGCAGAGGAAAGAATTAGTCAACTTTAAGGCAGATCAATAGAAACTATCCAATCTGAAAAACAGTGATAAAATAAGACAGAAAAATAAACAAATCTTCAGAGACCTATGGAACACCATCAGATCTACCAACATATGCATAATGGGAGTCCCAGAAGGATAGGAAAGAAAGAAGCCAAAAAATATTTTAAAAAATAATGGTTTAAAACGCCCCAAACTTGATTAAAAATATTAATCTACATATCCAAGAAGTTCAATAAATATAGGATAAATGCAAGTAAATCCACACTTAGACACATCATACTGAAACTGTGGAAGACAAAGAGAAAATCTTAAAAGCAGGGAAAAAAGTGAATAATCATATACAGAGAACTACCAATACAATCAATGGTTCCTGCTGACTTTCTTCAGAAACAGTGAAGACCAAAAGACAATGGAATGACATATTCAAAGTGGTAAAGGAAAAAAAAACTATCCATCTACAATTCTATGTCCAGAAAACTGCCTCCAAATGAAGGCAAAATAATAACATCCCAGATAACCAAAGACTTAAAATTTTCATTGTTAGAAGACCTGCCTTACAAGAAATATGAAAGTGCTTCAGGCTGAAAGGAAATAACACCAGATGGTGACTAGAATCCACAGGGGAAAAATGAAAAATACAAGGAATAGTTTATATTTGGTTTAACATAAAAGACTATATTTTTCCATTCTTCCCTTAAATTTTTTAAAAGATATAAGATTGTAAAAAGCAATAACTTTCACCACTGTATTTCTGGGCTTATAAGATATATAGTGTAATATATATACCAACAAAAGCACAAAGGCAGGGGGAGGAAACAGAGCTACATGGCACAACATTTTAATATTTTACCAGAATTAAGTTAATATTAATCTGAAGTATAGTGTGATAAGGGGGCAGTGGTGTTTCAGTGCTAGAATTCTCACTTTCCTTGCAGGAGACCCGGATGCTATTCCTGGCCAACGCACCTCAAGCACAAGCATCACCAATCTGTTAGAGAGGCTTATATGTTGCTATAATGCTGAAAGGTTTCAGCAGAGCTTCCAGACTAAGGCAGACTAGGAAGAAAGGTCTGGCAATCTACTTCCAAAAAAATCACCCAATGAAAACCCTATGGATCACAACAGTCCAATTGCATTGTGCACGGGGTCACCATAAGTTGGGGCTGACTTGACAGCAGCTAACAACAACAGAATGTGACAACTTCAGATGCTTATTGTACTCTCCAGAGCAACCACTAAGAAAATAATAGCTACTTTATTATAACTATCAAATAATAATGAAATAGCTAAATAATAGCTGGAAGCTCTACAGAGAAAAATAACTTAAAATCTACACAGAAAAAATTGACAAAGAAATTTAAATAGTACACAAAAAATACTTAGCAAAAAAGGAGGAACAGAACAACAACAAAAACAGAAGATATACATAAAATAAATAGCACAATGGTAAACGTAAACTGAAACATACTAATAAATACATTAATGTAAATTGTATTAAATATACCAATATAAAGGCAGAGATTGTCACTTGGATACAGATAAAATAAATAATTAAGGTAAGAACTATTACTAGAAAAAAGGGGGGAATATTTTATCATTATAAAAGGGTCAGTACATCAGGAAGATAAAAAATTATAACTGTACTCACACCTAACACAAGAGCCTCAAAATACATGAAGCAAAAACTGTCAGAATTTAAAGAGATAACAGACAATCCAACAATAACGGTTGGAAATTTTGATACTGTGCTCTCAATAATTTATAGAACTAGAGAATTTTTTTAAGCAATAATTAATCGAGTAACAATCTAACTGACATACAGAAACAATTTACACAATGAAGGTAGAATACACATTCAAGTGTTCATGAAACATTTTCCAGGTTAGATCATATGCTAATCCATAAAACAAGTATAAATAAATTTAAAAGAATTGAAATCATATAAAATATCTTCATTGAACACAACAGAAATAAATTAGATATCAACAACATAAATATGAGACATTCCAAAATATTTGAAAATTAAAATATTTCTAAATAACCCATGTCTATCAGTTAATCACAAGGGAAATTATACATAGAGATAGATAGACTCATAGATTCTAGATAGATAACTGAATATAAACAAAATACAAAAAATCAATGCTTAGAGGGAAATTTTATAGCTTTAAATGCCCATTATCAGAAAAAAAGGAAGGTCTCAAATCAATACTAAGCTTCCTCCTTAAGAAAGAAGAAAAAAGGAAAGAAAACAAAACTCAAAGCAAGCAAAAAACAGAGCAGAAATCACGTAATAGAAAAGAAAAAAGTATTTCTAATAATAATTTTCATTTTATTATTTTTTTAGAAAGTCAATGAAACAAAAAATTGGTTCAAGAGATCGACTAAATTGACAAACTTTACCAAGACTGACAAGAAAAAAACAAAGAAAACAAACTTAAAGAATCAAGAATGAAAGAGGGAACATTGCTATCCACTCTCCAGAAAGTTTTAAAATTATAAGGGAATATGAGGAACAACTATATGCCAATAAATGAGGCAAC